CTGGCGCCAGTACGAAACCAGTTTAGTGGCGCCAATTAGTTGGCGGCAGAAGTTGTCTCCACATAAATGTTATAATTGTGTACTGGCACAGTAATAAAAATGGCGTCAAGTGATGTACTTCGCGCTGGCATCAATATGGTAGTCCAAATGTGTTCCTTGGAACTGCCCACGTTATTAACAAAAAAAAAGCGAAAACATAGTTGCTGGGTTAGATTGTTAGATTGCAGGTAGAAATAGCCTAGGTGCGTCTAGTACTTTAATTAGAGAATTATGCCATGAAGATCAGCAAGTATTTTTTAGTCATTTAAGAATGGCTAAAGAGAGATTCATGTTTTTGTTGAGGCAAGTATCCTCTAAAATGCAAAAACAACATACGCATATGAGAGATGCCATTCCAGCTCACGTAAAACTGCAAGCAACTTTAAGATTTTTGGCTTCTAATGAATTTTTAATGAAAAATCTTAGTAGGCTTTGCAATCTTTGTCAGAAATATTTTTGACGTTTAAATGTCAGTGGTTTTCTTACTATTATCATTGTTTTTCAAATTAATTTATGAACAAAGTTCTACCGCATTTACGCTCGTTCACTCGACGTTTCAAAATTTTAAATAAAACAATAATAATAGTAAGAAAACCGCTGACATTTAAACGTCAAAAATATTTCTGACAAAGATTGCTAAGCCTGCTAAGATTTTTTCTTTAAAAATTCATTCCAACTTTCGATTAACAACGCTACAGCTTAACAGTTAGTCTTTGCTTAATTAATTTTTTTCTCAGAAACTATTAACTTTTCGAAGAACATCAGAGAGGCAAAAAAGTTTTAGAATATTTTCATCTATCTAAATAAAATATTTCCAATGTATTTATCATCGTCATAAAAAAGATCTAGACAAAAATTGAACGGGGGTGGTTATGTTTAGTAACTTAGAAGGGAAGATTGAAAGTACAAATAGGCTCGAAACATGCCCTATTATAAGCTAAACATATTTCCCAAATTTCATTTTCTTGGTGTTAATGGTTTTCGGGAAAAATATAATAACCCAAAATTTTTCGCCATTTTTGAAGGGGCGTAGCTCCGCAGGGGAGTCGAAATCGCTGATAGTTTATATGAGAAAGTACCCTTAAAATTGCCTAAAGAATTACCCCCTGAAGTTTGGGCACGTCATTCAGATACACCCTGTATATGAAGAGGTTTATGGTGAAGTACTTGATGGTATTCAATTGTATACGCATTGCGTATACTTCGTATTTTTGCTTTTGCCGAGGTTTCGTTCGTCAAAATTAGAAACTGTTTTCTTCATAATTTCAACTATCCTTCTGACAGCTTCATTTCGTGCTAGTTGGTCCTTATACTGTTGAATTTTCTGATTCCACAAACAACGATATTGTTCATACGTTTCTAGAAATAGTACTGTTTCTTTTGATGTCCATTCTTTTGATTTATTCATTTTAGTTGCACGAACACGTTAATAGTTACAAGTTTTCTTTATAAATACTGTTACTGGCGACAAAAAGTAGAAGTAACGTCAACTTTATTGGCGCTATGATTTCAGGCACCGATTTATTGACGCCAGTGGCTTTTTGGTATTTCCACATGCAAATGAACTGGCGCCAGTAATTCGTGCATGTGGAAACTTAGCTTAAAGCACAGATGACAGATATTTGAACACTTATAAATAAAGTTTGGTTGAAAATTATTTATCGTCTAATTTCATGGCCTATTAATCAAAAAATTAACAAGATTTGCCATACTTTGCCCGATATTGATTAATTCCACAATATCTCAAAAACTACATAACTGATAGGTATAGGACATGTACTACTAATATTTATAGAGAATTAAATTCTGTATCTGATTAACTAGTCAAATATGGGGTGTTCCATTTAAAATTTTCGACTTTTGCAATTGCATATAGTAAAGCAGTAGTTACATTTTTGAACACCCTGTCTAAGGCTAAACACATACTGGAGCGACGAGCAAAGCGGCGAGGAGAGCGGTGAAGAAAGCGGCGACCGAGAATCGCGGTAATAAAAGAGTTGCATTCACATAGTGGCGCGTCTAATAAGGAGGTATGGATTTATTACTATTAGAAAATTCTTCCCTGAAATTTTGGTATTTATTAAAATATAAAAGGAAGAGAAGTTGTAATGTACATGAAATAAATAAAAGTAGACATATACATGGCGAATTTCATCATTTGTATGAACAACTACGCCATTATTCAATGATAAATTTTACCAATACAATGAGGGTCTTCCAATGGGATCCCCCTTGAGCGGTCTACTCTCCGACATATTCCTTAATAATATAGAAAACAAAATTTTACACAAAGATAACATTAACAATAATAATATAGTCCTGTGGCTCAGATATGTTGATGATATTTTGATAATTTGGGATGATGACGGATTCAATTTGATAGATGATTTCCATAAATACATTAATAACCTCCATAAAAATCATAAATTTACTATAGAAATTGAAAAACATAAACAACTAAACTTAATTATCCCAAATTGACAAAATAATTAATAAATTCATTTTTAAACAAAACCTTAACAACTCTACAGGTCTTCAACCTATAACTCAAAACTTTGATACATACAGATCAATTACTTATCCCGGCAAAATAGCTCACAATATCAGAAACATTTTCAATAAATATGGAATCAGCATATCTTACAAAAACAATCACACCTTACAAAAACTTTTGCATAATGCAAAAGATAAGCTAGACTTGTTGGAACTTAACGGTGTTTACAGTTTAGAATGTAATATTTGCGGAGCCACATATATTGGCGAAACAGGGAGAGCCCTAAAAACAAGAATTAGAGAACATTTAATAAAACCCAACTCTAATTTTGGTAAACACCTATCTCTGCACAACCACACTTTTGATATTAAAGAAAATGTAACACTGATACATAAACAAAATAAAGGCCACAAACTTGAGCTTTTAGAGAGCTATGAAATAGACAAATTCATAAAAACTAATACAAGACTTGAGTGCCTTAATGACCAGGTCCTCCCCTTAAAGCCACCCTTATACAAATGCCTCAATAACCCATTTCCCCAAAATACCGAGGATCAGTGTACTTAGCCGCACACACTGTTCGCAGATTTTGGGGTCCCTGCGGCAACACCCAACTCCTGTCTACACCCTATCCTTGTATTCCCTATCCTATATTTTTCTATTAATTTAAAAATCCAAATTTTATTATCCCCTTCCCTTACCTTACTATTCAACGCCTGGAAATATTAACTACAAAATACAAATTATATACATTACATACATTTTTAAAAAACAGATTTTAGAGTTGTTGCCTCGCAGACAATTATACTCGCAGAAGGGATTTGTTTCATCTGAACACCCTCTATGTAATTTTATTTTATTTTCAACACATGCGCATTTATACATTTTATTTCTGGTTTTCGCGAACTCATAAAAAGTGGTTACCTCTTGCAATTTCTCAACCATTTTATTTTATTTTTGTAACTTTTCATGTAACGTTTTCATGTATTAAAGCTTCAACATCCATTTTGTATCAAAGAGGAGAGCGGAGAAAACAAACTTGCTTGAACGCGCCGCTATACTCTCTTATGACCACACTGCTACTTGGCGCCGCGCCGCACCACTATGTTCTACTCATTTGGATATGTATAGTTTGTTTTCGCCGCTTTCCTCACCGCTCTGCTCGCCGCTTTGCTCGTCGCGTCAGTATGTGTTTAGCCTAAGATAGACCGATGTAGGCACTCCATTTAAAGATATCCAAGCAGCAACTGTCACAAATTTTAACTTTCTAGCTCGATCAGTCGCCAAGACATTCAGACTTGAAGGGCACAGTGTTAATTGCTAAAAAAAGCTTCTAATTAAAATAACACAAAAACTAAAAGCACTAGGTATCAACATGTCTCTTAATCAATTTAGTTTTGTGTGTAGAATCAGAAGACGCAATAAAAAAAACTATATCATTCCCTTTAAAATAACATTTGTTTATTTCAGTACGTCGTTATGGAACACCTGTATGTACAAAAATATTTTCCGTTTATAGTGTGCTAAATTTCCTACAACTTTTGTCTAAGACGAACTGCGTATCTTGGCTCCTTAATACCATTTATGTACTTTGTTGCTTACGTGGGCAGCCTGTATAATCACCAGTTTAGTATTTTTACCGTAACATATACATCATATGGCATTAACTCAAGAACAAGTTGCCGTGACAAAATATGGTATCACTAAAATTATAGATTATATTTTACTTATTAGATTTTCGTTACCGTTTGTTGCAAGAGCAGAGTGTATTGAAGGTTTTCGAGGAAGACGATGTTAAAACAAAGATAACATCTAAGATTAATGATAGAAATGAGCGTATATTACTATCATTTGCATCTGTAAATTATTTTTATATACTTTCAGTTTAGTTTAAAATAAATAAATAATATTAAATGGTAAAAATTTTATCGAGTGTTAAAAATCAATCATTGTTGTTATTGCAAATTGAGCGATAACATTCTAAATAAATTAAAGCAATTAAACCATTTTTACCCGATTTTTCCATTGTAGTAAAATTCCATACTAAATTGAATACAATTTTTTATTGCCATTCAAACAAACCTTATTGATTTGCATAACAACTTTGAAACACGCATTTTATACGTTTTAAATATAAAAAACTAACACGTGTATAACAAAAAACAAACCAAAAAAAGTTTTTGATTCAAACGTAAAAATAAAATAACAAATTTATCGTTGTTTTTGTCATCATCAATTACTTATTTAAATGCAAGTTTATAGTACTAAGTTCAAGTTGACGTTTTACCTGTAAATTAAAACGTTTTATTACAGATTCGAAATCAAATTTTACTTTACCCAGCTTAATAAAACCCGTTATGCATCAAATTGTATTTTAAACGCGTTACTCATCGGTTTTAATTTAAAACCTATGCATAATTATTTCTATTTACTAGATACTCAGAAAATCATATTAAAAAATCCTTACCTTTAGTTGAGCAAAAAAGTTGTGTGCTTTGTGGTAAACAGAGAAGTGATGTGAAGGTCCTGGACCAGCCGCCGATTGCGGTCGAATTTCAGTCATTTCATCTTTCAGTTCAGTGCCGCAACTTAATTCTGATGCCGATTTACTTAGGTGTTTTCCACGCAATTTCGAACTGGAAATATGCTTTAGGTCTGTCGTTTCTAAAGCTCGTTCTACAAAAATGAGAAATATGATAACGTCAATTGGATATTGAAATAAAAAAAGATTATTAAAAAAAAAATTTTTGCCGAAACCCGGGATTGAACCGGGGACCTTTAGATCTTCAGTCTAACGCTCTCCCAACTGAGCTATTTCGGCTGATGTTTAAAGTGTGTTTAGAGATAAACCTTTGACTCGCACTCGCATTATATTAGAATAAATTGATACTTGTAACAGTATATTATAAAACTAGTTTCGTAAGACACGCTTGAAATGCACGAATTCAAGTTTAAAAACGAATGGCGAAGCCACGAGTTTCTTAATGAAACTCATTACAAACTAATTTTGAGTAATTCGCGTTTTTATCCTTTTTTTAATAAAAATAAAATAAATTTTGACAATGGAGGGAAATAGGTAACAGTTGGTAACACCGTAACACTTGAACATAGAAATTTCTATTGACAATTAGAAATTGTCAAAACACAAAATGTATTCACCTGAAAAAAAATGTTTCATATACACCTTCCGAAGTAAGAGAACGTGTTTAAATATCCATAGACAAAAATTGTCACCTTGACAACTAGAAAAATTAATGACCCAACGTCACTAACTTGAACTGGTTCCATAAATTGTTACTAAAATCTCATTACAGCATCGGATGCTGTAAGGGGTCTCATTACAGCACCCGTTTGAGTACTGTAATAGCTTTCATTACCATCGCGAATTACAAAAAGTTGATTATTATTTAATTTTAAAATATTACTTTATAATTTCCTTTCGAAGTTTGTATTACTACGAAAGATCATTAAAAACGCAATTAGTTTTACTTTTTTAAATAAAGAAATAATACTAAAAAATAATAATCTATATTTACAAAATACCTACATGTTTAACCTGATAGTTGTGTACAAGTCACAAAATAGAACAGTTTAATGTAGAAACGGCATATCTTTGATTCGAGTAAATACAGTGAAATTCCCCTAACTCGAACTTCTATATCTCGAATTATCCTCTAAGTAGAATAATTTTCGTAAGCTCAAGCGTTTGACTAGGGTTCAAATGTGTTTCTCTAACTCGAATTTTCCATAACTTGAAGTTTTCTTCCGCTCCCGTAGTGATTCGAGTTAGGGGAATTTCACTGTACAATAATTTTAATCGAGATGTAGGTATTTGTACTGCTCATGATAAATATTTATGTTTACAAAATATTTTTAGTAAAATGGGTGATTATGCAAAGGAAGAGGCACGGCTGATGAAGTTAATGGAAGAGTATATGGAAAGTGATATTGAGGATGTACCAGAAATAGATGATTCCGATGATAGTTTTCGAGAAGAGACTATCTACGAACAAAGTAGTGATAGTGAAATAAAGAAGATGCTATGGATATTCAAAAAAAACCATCATCTAATGACCGTAGGCGGGAACCAATTTATGTGGGGAGGGATGGTACGCAATGGAAAGTACATGCACCTACTAATACGCGTGTTAGGCGACAAAGATCTAATATAACGAAAAGTTTGCCTGGACCCACGTCTAGAAGAAAAAATTTGAAAAATGCCCTAGATACATTTTATCGATTATAGTAGAGTATACCAATAAATATATTGAAACTATAGCTAATAAATTCGAACGCAACAGAGATGTCAAGTGTGACAAATTAGCTCCGATTCCAGAACTTTTTGGCTTATTTGTGTCAAATTGCAGAAAGGGATATAATTTAACTGATTTTACAACTGATGAAAAATTCTTTTCGTCAGTATATTCCGACTAAGCCCAACATACACGACATAAAAATATTTGCGTTGTGTGATGCTAGAATGTATTACACTGCAAATTTAGAAGTTTATTTGGGACGTCAACCAGAAGGTCCATTTTTTGTAAACAATTCTCCTTCTGCCGTTGTGAATCTGGAAGAAACATTACGCTAGACAATTAATTTACAAGTTTTTCATTGATTGATAATTTAGAAAAGAACTACAGAGTTATGGTTATAAGAACAGTCCAAAAAAATAAATGAGAATTACCTGCGAAATTATTATGCACCAATCGACCAATAAAATCAAGCATGTTTGCCTTCAAAGAAAAATGTACCCTTGTGTCCTATTGCCCTAAAGAAATAAATTTGTTTTGTTGGCTTCAAATATGCACAACGATAATGAAATTCATCCGGAAAGTGAAATTTCATATAAACCTGTAATATTGACGGTTTACAATCAGAGAAAAGGTAGAGTAGATGTAGTAGATAAATTGAGAAGATAGATAAAAAATGGATGAGAAGATGGCCTATGGTCATTTTTTACTCATGTTTGAACGTTGCTGGCATAAATTCGCAAGTAATTTATCAAGCAAACAACACTGATACTAATCTTCTACGTACGAAGCTTCTTCAAAATCTTGGTTTCTCTTTATTACGCACACACATACAAAAAAGAGCAAAAAGAACCTATTTGCCGAAAACTATTCAACTGCGTCTCGGAGAGGTTTGGGTGAAAATATAGTTTTTTCTGCCGAAAAGGGTAGATGTAAATACTGTCATGGAAAAAACCGATCATCAAAGCATTATTGTAAAAAGTGTCACGCATTCATGTGCCTTGAACATGCGTCATTTCTATGTAGCGATTGTTTAGATTAATCTATAGCATTAAACTGTTTTTTCTTGTTGCATTCTCTTGTTTGTTTGTTCTCACTTATGGCATAATTTCCTTTTCTTTACGTTTCCGTTATATTTCTATATTAATCAAAATATTCTTTGCAGTAGCGCTTACTTTATTTGTTATGATTATAAAGCATTTTTATGATGCGAAATAGGAGTCGCGGGCGCTTTTTCGTATTGAATAAACGCACGCGCCCACTGGAGGGTTAACCAAGAAAACAAAAGAAAATCAAAAGGATCATTTCGAACATATTTAGACAATCAAAGAAAACTCTCATTATAACATTTATCAGTTTCTCCATTATTAGCGAAAGTTAGATCAATAATGAAGTGGGGTACGCTGATCGTAACCGATGAAACATTCTTTCTAGTTGCTAAGTCCTTCATTCGCTTTATAACGAAAGTTCGACTTCATTAAATTTAGGCTGCGTTTCGTAACAAGACATCTTTAACGCCGTGAACGCTTCTATGTGCAGGGTTGTATTCACTTTCACTGCCATCTTGATTTCCAGACTCTTCAACTGATGTAACAATATCGTTGTCATCGAGGATTTCATAGTTGAGATCACTTTTGTACATACAGCGTGATTCTCAACCTATACGCCTAAACTTGGGATGTTATTCCTCACGACAAATAATGACTCATAGATGAAAAATGAAATTGTAGTAAAAGTTTTTTAATTTCCTAGATATCCGATATAATAGGCGACATCTAGATAATGTGTTTCCTGGAAGATGGATAGATCCAGATGGTCCAATGGCCTGGCCACAGTGATCGCTCGGCCTCAATCCTCATGAGTTGTACTTTTCGAGGCACTTAAAAAGCATAGTGTACGCCACGGAAGTTAATACTGAGCATATATTGCAAAATCAGGTACATGTTGCTGCCTAGACAATCTGCCAACACCTTGCGCATCGTGGGTTCGGGGATCCCAATTGATAAAAACCATGGGAAATAACTTCGAACACTTGCTATGATGGTATTTTAAAATGTTCTATGTATTCTTGATTTGAAAGTAAATATCACAGATATCTATGAAACAGAAAATCTGTTACTACACATTTTTTCGCCTATTAGTCATTATTTGTCATGAGGTGGAAATCCCCAAGTTTATGCGTATAGGTTGAGAATCACCCTGTATACCATTCTACAGCATCAGATTCATCTCAATCTTGAAAACCATGAACTAACTGATACAGTTCTGCCACCTTTTTTACACTTTCAAGCGTTTTGTTTCATTTTCATGATGCAATTTCTTTGTTGTCAGGCCAAAGCTTGTTCCACCCTTTTTTAAGTTTTCTATAGTGAGTGACGACCTCTTCATTAGTTTCAGCTAAAAGAAACTTACGTACCATTCGTTTTTTGTGCATTCTCTTTAATTTTTCAATAACACAATTGATTCATTGGGTTTAATAGACGGGTGATGATTAGTAATATTTTCATTGAAGCCACTGTTCTGTGTGCATTTCCATAAGTCAACTAATAGGGACAGTGCATAATCACCACTACCGTTTGCACATTGCTGTTCTGCTTTGTCTCTGGGGCAACTTGAGGCTTTTTAAGGCAGAACTTTCCAATTTATGCTGGTTTCGGCATATTGCTTAGAAAATTCAAAAATTTTTATCTACAAAAATATCATTTATCTATGGCAGAATTGGCCTAAGATAAACATTCCCCTTGAATAGTCGCCTTATGTTATGTCTTGAATTGAAATTCTTTAATCATTTGGTTATGGCATTAATGTCAGGAAGATCGTCAAGTTGTTTATTATAATAAAAGCCGTTTTCAGGCATGGGTCCTCGCACAGATTTATGATTTTTTTTATTGTATGATAGAGCACTGCTACTTTTGTATATTACAATAATTCTACATTCTCAATAATTGATCGACCACCGGGATTAATCCACTCAAAGATCTACTAACGTCTAAAACAGAACTTCTCCTCTTGCGTTAGTAAGAAACCGATTTAATAAGTTGTAATGTCAAAAGTAATCGAAATTGAAGCTGCGACACAGTTTCTTTTTGGATTCTGAAGTGTTATGTAACAATTAATTATACAAGTTTCCCTAAGATAATAAAAAGAATCTCATCCACCGTCTTGTATATTTGTAGGGAGACAACAACGGATCAAGGTAATCGATAATTTCCACACATTTATTACAATGTATTATTGCAACACGATATTCTCACAATAGGTCTACTTGGAACTTGTATTGACTGTATTGTACTGTTTCTAGTTTAGCTAACGTGAATTTATAAGCTAATATCCTAATTACTAGGGAGATAGCGATCTTTATAACCTTCATATTTTTATTTAGTTTGAAAAATCAATTTCAGAAAAAGTAACCCTTTTTGATAA